AAGTGAAGATGTAGATGTAATATAATGCAACACAGTGTTTTGAGAGTGGAGATTATCGAATGTTGCCTTGTAACAATGCTTTAGACACTGCAGATTTGCTGCCAATTGTTTTGGAGCGTCGTAAAAAATGAGTGTTGGTCGCGCAATACTTGTGTTCAACAGCATGCTAAATAAGAACGAAGCATACTAGTGCAGGCTTGTAGCTCTACCTGAAGGAAGTGAAGATAAGAATACTAGTGCAGGCTTGGAGCTCTATCTGAAGGAAGTGAAGATAAGGAAGGAAAAGAAGATGTAGATGTAATATAATGCAACACAGTGTTTCGAGAGTGGAGATTATCAAACGTTGCCTTGTAAACAATGCTTTAGACACTGCAGATTCGCTGCCAATTGTTTTGCAGCGTCGTAAAAAATGAGTGTTGATTGCGCAATACTTGTGTTCAACAGCATGCTAAATAAAAACGAAGCATACTAGTGCAGGCTTGTAGCTTTATCTGAAGCTTAACTAGAAACAGTCATGTATTTGCTCGATAATTAAGTACAGTATAGACCGCTTATAATGTAAGTCGCGGGAGTTGCGAATATCCGCACTATAAGTGGTACCGCACTACTATAACCAAAACAACCTATTTCAAGGGCCACATTTGTGCAAAACGTGTTGAGCATGCAGCTTCGCGTGTCCGAGAATAAAAACATGCGATGCGTGCTTGCTAACATTTAAATTTCTGAATGTTAAATAAATTTAACGTCCAAAGACAAGCATTGCCAATAAATCGAATGCGAAAGGGGGGGGGGGGGGGTCTCTAACAATTGAAAGCACCATTGAGGAAATTCACCGACTACCAAATCTCCTCGATTATGCGCATTACACAGAAACTATGTCGAATCACGTTCGAAATTTGATGCGTTGAAAGACGGCAACCATTCGATTTCACGGGCATGCACCTTATTTAAGACATCGCAATCGAATCGCAAACCACTATTTGAGTGTACACGTGCCGCTTTCGTTTTAATAATTGATATGTATGCCTTCCCGTCAAGTGCGGCTGCCGCAAAGTTTCGTTGATTCGGTACGAAACCGCGACTTGGATTCACACGACCGCTACCGTTCAAAGTGCAATCAATGCCAATTAGGCCTAGCTTTCCCTTTGGTATGTTGACGCGGAAAGCTTGTCCAAAACATGAGGATTCGGCGTCAAAAAGATCGCACTAGCAGCGAACCAAGAACTGCATGCGTCATGCGAAGTTCACGTTCGCGTCCGGGAGATCAGCAACAACGACAACTTGCTAAGCTTACATACGACAGCGCACTGATAGCTAAAGTGAAAGCTCGCGTCATAAAACCGTAAAAAGTTTTCAATTTACGAACAAAGAAGCAAACGTGATATTTGTTGCAAGCGCGATAACGAGGATGTCTTTCCCGACAGGAGACTGTTAAGCGCATGTAGTTGATAAAGATGGCATCGCACGCGTGTCACGTTGAGTGCCGCACGGCCGAAGCCACGCTAGCGACGTAGTACCGTGTAGCACGTCGGCGCTATAGAGTTAATGTACAGACTCTAGAGGAAAATCTCCCCCTAAAGCCCATGCATTAAAACCCATTGCCGCTCGGGTGAAACCGTGATGGAACGATACTTGGCTTTCGGGTGTCGTTCACTCGCAGTCACTACTGCATGCTGCAATTACGCCCGGCATTTTCTCTGTTTTGTGGATCTCTGTGACATCGCAGTAAAATACTGTCACATGAAGTCGAGTTTTTGGCTCATCGCAACAAAAAACATGGACGCCGACTTGCCCGGCGTGCAAGCTAGTCGGCGCGATCCGCTGCACGCCACATCACCACGCTCTCAACAGTACAAGAAAGGTGGCGCTATCTACTAAAGAAACCTGCAAAAGCTCCTCTCTGCATTCATTAAACTGGATAAATGGCTATTGTATTTTTCCTAAAAGTAGTTTATAGAACAACCGATCAACACTATATACATACAATATGTACAGCCCAGCAGTGGATGTCGGCTGAGAAATTCTTGTAGACCGTTTTTGCGAGTCATCCTCTAATTGCGCGCTGCCCCGGAGCCAGGTTGTTAACCCTGACTACTGTGGTCTTTATATTATTTTATACTACTTTCGTTTACTTATAATACGAGAGCATGCTTGTTTACAATCAGTATTGCAAAAATTTGAGTGTTGTAAACGTTTAAATTTAGCACTTCGGTAAAGTACTTTGATGGCAACAATGACAATGTTTCAAGATGTCAGCGTTTTTGTGGTTATAGCTTTTCCAACCCAGCTTTTCCTCTAGAGTCTGTATATTAACTCTACAGTCAGCGCCAGTGCAAAGGCTCATCGATCACTGAAACAACCGTCCTCCTCCCTTACTCGGCGAGCCCGCGCAGTCTCCCGCGGTCTTTTTTTATTATCTTATTTTGCTTCCCTCCGCCTTTCATTCGTTCACTCTGTATCTCTTCCTCCTTCGTAATGACCTTGTCCTTCGCTCCCCAGCGGACAAGGTGAAGACAGCAGACAGGATAGAGTGCACATACTCCATCTGTCTGTTGCTTTTACCTTGTTTGCTGCCATGTTTGTCACAAATGGTTTACGGCAACCAATATAACCAATCTTTCTTCTTGGGGGACTGTACAATAAGCGGTATGTGTATACATGGGCTTTTATGGGAGGGTAGACGGGAGTTGAAAAAGATTGCATTGTAAGCAATTCTGCACTTAAAGTGGTTACGTTATAAGTAGTTATAAGTAGTGTACACTGTACCCCCGAACCTGTTGTCTGTGTGTGAGCTTCGGCTTTACTGTCCAATGCTATTTTTGCTGCGGAGATAAGCTCAACAATTTGAAAATCGGAATAGAACAAGATGTGATCTCTACATAGAGTGTTCAATTAATGTACTGTGACATCTATTAGAATTCTGAAGGGAATCAGAATTTAGAATTCTACGTGACATGAATTTGTTTGTGTTAATAACTGCAGTGCAGGATTGTAAAATATGCTGTGGTATAACTTTACTGACATGTAGATTAAAAGTTTGCTTATTTATTCACAGAACCTCACTTATGATTGCTTCATAAAAATATTTCATAATGGTATAGTCATTAATCGAGTCACGTATTAAAAGATGTGAATTAGGAGCCACTGTTTCTGCTTACCAAACCTGTCAGTAATTGCGACGTGTGTTTTGATTGAGAGCAATATCGACTTTACTTTGGGGCACACTGCACGATTTTCTAATAAGCCAATACTAGTTCGATGTTTATGAAATTTAATTTCTGGTAGTATTGCATGTGCAAAGTAGTAAATGCAGTTTTATTAACAATGTAAATATTTCTTTCAGATGGTTCCGTACGCACGAGATCTACAAAATTGCAAGCGTCTGCCACCTTTCCAAGGAAGCAATAAAGATGCTTCTCAGCCCCTACACACTCCATCTGTAAAGTTTCTAATAAATGAAGTCAAGTTTCAACGCCAAGCTTTCTTGTCTATATGTACCGCAGGGGTCCACTGGCAATTGGAAACAATTGCGGCCAGTTCAAGTGGTTTATGGTCGAATTCCCAGCGGAGACAAATTGCCAACGGGTGCCAATTGAGACCCACTGTCCACTAGTCCCCGCTGAGAATTTGACAATAAACCACTTAAACTGGTCCCAGTTGTTCCCAGTTAGAATATTTTCAGCTGGGACGCGCTGCGAAACGTCAGCGTCAAATACCGACTTTTTACGTTGGTTCGTGCGCACTGTTCTAGCATCATCTTCACTCTCATTGCTGTTTTCTTCTCAGGACAAATGATATGGATCTTATTGGTTGTCAGCTAAACGCACATGCACGCTTCGTTGCCAAACTGCACATAGTTCTCAAGCGATGCCCGGGTAATCATAAGTAATTTCATCCCATAGGTCATTTGGGTCGCATTTTTCACTGTCGTGGCATTCCTTTCGTGCTGCTTCCGGAGGTCATCTTGAACGTTCAACCCTGAACCAAAACGCTAGAAAACAGCCTTAAAATAAGTGCGCAGGTCAAGTTGCTAGTGAAAACAAAAACAACAGAGCAAAGTCCGACGTGAGAAACATTAGAAAAACAAGTAGGTACCAAGCGATAATGACGGCAATAGGCCTATCGCACATTTGTACAGAGCAAGAAGATAGAAATACACGGGTGCTCTGATGATGATGATAGTGCACTTATGGAGCTGGGCATTATTTATACCATAGAGTTTCCTAAATATTCACTAAAGGGAACAATGGCGTTAATGTCAATGGGAGCTGAAACACATGGCGCTTCAGCGAGCAGGGGAGTTAAGGGTAGTACATGGATTTGCCTAGTCTTCATACTTTATGTTCTGTTCGGCTTTGTGTGGCTCGAAGTTGCTTTGTCACGAAACAACAATCGGCAAATGTTCGGCAGTTACGCTTCACCACCTTCGCTTTTTAGGATCACCATTTCAAATCAGCCTACAAAGTTCGATACGGTTTGTTCTTTCGTTCAAAACAAAACCAAACACAGCAATAAATGAAGCCACAAGTGCAATTTGCCACCCGCAAGCATGAAGACTAGGCAAATCCATGTCATACCCATAATTCCCATGGTCGCTGAACGATCGCAGCACCAGAGTCCTCTCTAGTTAATTTTATAAAATGCTATGTTCTTACAGCCGCGAGTAACTTTTTCAAATGTTCATTCGTTATTTTGAAGCATTGGGGGATAAAAGAAGGATAAAATTCGATATGTTATTCTCAGACATTCGGTATTCTGAAATTCGTAGAAGTTAAATATTTTTACATTGAGCCAATGGACGTTTGAAGGGGGATTTCCGAAAAATTTGTCAATCTGAAAAAATCATTTTACTGAGGTTCGCTATAACAAGATTTGACTGTATTATTATTAATAACCAGATTGCTGTACTGGGTGTTTTTCACTGTCCTGTGTATCCTGCTGTACACTAAAAACCTTTTGCTGCTGTGCATAACCAACCAGGCAACCTGCGGGTTTCTCACCGGGTGTGCGATACTTGGTCAACAGCTGGGCCCTCTGCAGCTCAAAGCAGAGCGCTACAAGCCAAGCCAGGGGTGAGCAATCCTTCTGCACCAGGCTGTCTAGGTACCTGCATCAGTCGACAGCTAATAATTACACTGTTCTCAATAAAAGTGCATTGGTCATTGTTAAGCACCATCGAGAAGCTAAAGAACCTTCATGACACCATGATCTGATTCGACATGAAGGGAGAGCAGAAGCTAGTCCACACCATCCAGCATTTCATTACACCGATCACAGCAATATCTGCCAATAAGGTGCAAAGAAAACAACTAAATTGCAGCTTGTGATAATGCTTTAGACCTACATATGAGATAAAATTTTATCACAACAGCAAAAAAAAAAAGATAAGGAAGAAAACCCATGGCATCAGCCCAATTCAACCTGGGATCTAGCTTGCATGACAGCTTCTATGGTTGCTGTGTTTGTTCTAAAGAGATGGTCTTTCATTTTTGTATCGTGCTTCGCTCATCCACACTGCCAAGAAATCAGCAAAATATTGGATGCCACTGAACAGACGAGCAAGAAAACGGGGATCATGAACAAGCAATGCACATGAGACAAACAGCATGTCGGCCTTGCCACTGATCCAGCCGACGTAGGCCCACTAATCTGCTGGCCATGCTGGCTGGCCTGTCTTTCAGTGCCCAATGTCCCTCCAATACCTATGCATCTTGAAGGCCATGCCCAGGCTAACCAGTCATTCAGTAGGATTGGTGGGTGGCCTTGATAAAAGAAGTAGACGCACAAGTGGTTTGTCTGTGCTGCATGCAACCAAACGCCCACCACTACATTTATCTCTCTGCTGTTGGCTGTCCCACTGTGCAGTTAAGCGTGAATCCCAAGGTTGCCCTGGTACAATTGGAAAGGTCGTGCTTCAACCAGGCCTACCTGCTGTCACTAGAGATGCCTCAACCACACGTAGCTGCACCAGCCTGCTACACAAGCTGTCGAGAGTGAAAGGGCTGTGCCAAATGCAATATTACAGAAGCGTTGCGAGTGATTGACCCACACCGCTGCTTTCACAGGGCTCAGCAGGATTCTACAGCAGCACCAAAACACCAAAGAAAGCAGCAAGGAAAGAAAGATCCACATTGGTGTGAACCAATGGGGATCTTTATTTCTTATGGAAGTTGCTCCCCAGCACACTTTATCAGGTATATCGGTTATGTAGCAGACAGAAATATATGGGAGTATGGCTGCTGCATTAGCTCAAGCATCAGATGCCTGATTCAAAGACCTGCCAGCAGCAAGTTTCTTTTGTGTCCCCTTTAATTAACCTTATACTATAATTACTACCAACTACATTCCCTGTGCTTTCTTTGGGTTGATTGTCTGTTAGTTCTCATTTTTTAATGAGACGCAATTTGAAAAAAAAAAAAAAGTGGTTTCCTTAATCTGCAGCTAAGAGCAATGAAATTTTTGCTTTATGTATAGGGTTTTATGCCGACTTCATATATTTAATTGGTTTTATAGTAAGTTGCACAGTTTTTGTTTTGTGCCATGATAATGTAATAACAATAGTTAGTTTTGGAAAAACTTTTTATGCCACTAAACTTTTATAGTTCTGAAACATTGATGGCTCACATTGCTCCACATTAACTGTAGAATGCAAATAACTATTAATAAAGTGTGTATAAGACATAATGAACAGGAGAAATTGTATCGGTAGAATTCTCCTAATCTTCAGCCCACACCAATCGCTTACTTGCTTACTTTAGGTTCCTTATAATAATACACGTGATATAGGGTTTTAAAAAAGATACTTGCACCTTTCACATATTAGAGAACGTGTGGGCAATATTTCATTCCAATCGGACTATCAGAAGTACCAAAAACATGTCTAAATGCCAAACTCTAGAATTCGCCTAAAAATGGACCTCGAGAAAAATGCATTTCAAAGGTATAAGTGAAACCTCACCTATGTCAAAAAAATGCTTTTTAAAATCATTTATTCTATCATGAAAGCTTGGCAATCATGGTTATTTTTAACATGTGGCTTTTGTGAACTCCTCATGTGAAATGCAATGGCAAGCCACCAAGTTACATATTCCAGGGTACTCTAGATAATTAACTCTTCATATTTTTTTAGTAGCCACCCTGCGCTCTTTAAAAGAAATCTTAACCTACTTTTAGTTTAATTACAATCTTCAGTTTCTTGTTGTAAATGTAGAGAAACTAAACTTCAGAAAAAAAAATAAAGTGAGAAATATGTAATTTTGGAAAAAACTTGTATTTTTCGACTCGCATCTCCCCGTAATGAGAAACTCATAAAAATTACTAGCATACACATCAATAAGCAGATGCCAATGCTCAGCCTATTTTTACGATTTGTTATTGCGTGTTCAAGCTTCTCAAGTACAGTATTTACTTGCGTAATGAACGCACTTGCATAATAAATGCACCTCTGCAGTCACAAAAACTTTGATATTTTTCTTTATACCGCGTAATGAATGCACTCCCTACATTCGTCCCCCGCAGTCCCACAAATTGACACCTGGTGCCTTCTTGCTCGTTGGATATTTTGTTTTTTATTATGCTGACGGCCCTCCGCTCACATTCTCCTCCCCCCAAGCCCGCTGCCGCATGCCATTTTGTTTTTGTTTATATTTGTGCGTGCACATCTTTTGCCTTTTTTTTTTTAATTACGTATTCGTGAGGCACAGCGGGGTTCACGAACAGTGAAAGTGTAGAGACATCCTAGATAACAAGCACACAGTGAGCGAATGTCCCAAAACTGCCCACACCGATTAACATTTGCTTTCTGCAAATACGAAAAAGGCCCAACCACGTGCTCGCAATTTACGAGTGACGAGGACAGGATTTACTGTCGCCATGGCTGTCGCGAAGATCCATTTGTTGTCGTCACATCGCAGGTTTCTGAAAAACCAGAAAAAATTGCTTGTTCCCTAGGAGAGAGCCTGACAATTTCCACAATATGGTGGCAAACCCGATTTTCGCTTCGGCCGCAATTCGCTCTTCATGCCTGTAATCCACGCGTACTTCAAGGAACGCAAGATTTAGGCTACCTTCTCTCCAGTCACTTTTCATGTGGGTGATGAGGCTGCAGCCGTGTTTTGTCGTTAATCTTGTTACTGGCGGTTTGTTTAGATGCAAGTGGTAGCTTGTTGCAATGTTGGTTACTTGCGGAAATGTATGTCGTCGTCACAGTCGTCATGCGAGACTGCCACACATGGAGTTAGCAAAGTGCATGGTAGCGCATGCATCTGGGTGCCGCTCGAGATCACAGCAGATACCACTTTTATGGTTACACAATTAAGAAAATAGAAAGCCATGGAACGCTTTAATAGAGTGCGCGAGCGGCGCAGAGATGGCTTGCAAAAGATAGCGCCATCAAACAATGAAGATGAGTGAAGTGCAACAAAGAAGCTGTTTCAAAACAGTGTACATGTATGTCAATTGGAAGTTATCTAACTTTTTTTGCATTATCGCATTTTTTGCTCATCCAGTAAATGTTGTGATGAAGTTTGTCTAAAATAATAATCCCACCGCCAACTTTGCTTCTATTCATCGGGAAAAAAAGTTCATTCATTGCGTGAGTATACCCTACCTTCAGAAGGATTTTGTTGTCTCTCATTAGGAATGCTTGGTCACTTGAAACTTTCTCTGTGTCTTTTCTCTTGACACTCGAACTGGTTTTGTTTTTTTTCACAACACTAGTGAGCAACGCCCTGCTGGTTGTCACTTGGTCCTTTAATGCTTGATCCAGCAGCAACAACTTCTTGTAGGCCCGCCCGAAAACACGCCAAAAAACACGCAAACGTTTTGTCTGGGTCTTGCCAGCGTGACTGAATCAGACGATATTGGATGATGATGCCCTTCCCAACTGCAGCTTGCTAATGCAGGCTTCGTTCCCCACCAAAATCAGCCTAACCAAAAAATTTACTTTTTTGACACAGCTCGGGGAAAAAACTTGAAGTTGTATCAAAATGGCGCAATGGGCATAGCTGTTGCACCCCTGTGACTTGCACTTGTTGTATCCATTTACAGGTTCTTTGTACTTCATTGATGTGGGATTTGACACATATGCATTTGTTTTTCAAGGACAAACTTTGTATTATTTAATATTCTCCTACATACCATTTCGTTATAGCGAGATTTATGTGCACATGCTTACAAACTTCATGAACTTGCATGGACTTTTGTTTTCTTGTGTGTGGGTGAGTACCAACTAGCCACCAAATGCATTGGTGACGGTTCTCCCTGACCTTCCTCTTCTACCAGCGTACACTTCTCATCCAAGCTCACATGACATGGAGAAAATGGAGAGCTTTAGTTTTGGGACCTTTGTTTTAAAAAAGGCAATGATCTGACTAAAGATAGAGATTTTCCTTATTATAGCAGTTTACTGGTTTCTAGGAACTATGCCAGCACCGCTCCTAAAAAAAAATCTAGCTTTTTCCCTCTTACTTTTGCAACGTGCAGAAGTCACGTCCACACATCACCACTAGAAGAATTTTTACCAGGAGGATATTAGCTTTAATGCTAACATTATTGGCTTTCTCAATCTTTGCGAGTCTAACCATTATTCTGTTTTCTAGTAGTGCTCACCCCAACTGAATTTGTTGCGTAAAGCTACCATCTTCTAGACCAATGAAATCAGTGTTCTACAAAAGCCCATTACTTTATTCTTTATCCAAACTGTTAACTTTCACCTGTTGTCATACTTTAGGTCTTCTTTATGCCTTTCCACTCCCCCCCCCCCCCCTCTTGGAAAAGAAACAGTCTTATCACTTTCTTTTTTTTTTTTTTCAAAGTACAAGTTTTTAAGTCCTTTGCACCTTCATCTGCTACCTCTCAATCTGGTAAATTGTTCACCTGTGTTCTTCCAATTTTAACTCCTTTCTTCCGGAAGATTGCAACTTATCAGTGCACATTGTTTATAGGTTAACCAAGTATGAAGAAACAATATACTGCTGCAGCGCTCTTAGTTACAAATATTTGTCGCACACTGTAATTGCTTTTTCTCTCCTCTCCTTGTGACGAACGCGCTGGAAGCTTAGCACGGGGCAAGAAAGTACATGCTTCATGAACATTTTTTCTTTTTTTGGCGAAGGATGTTTGGGGCTTTCTGACCGAGCTGTAGGACATAGAATTGGGGGACACTGAATTGGACAAAAAAAAGTAAACAAAGGAGATGTTTGGTGGCTACGGGATCAGGACATCTTATATTTACAATGGAAAGACTAGCGTGTTGTTCATATGATGTCAACAGCCCACACAGCCAACTAATTCATGGTTGTGAAGTGCAGAATGAAAGTGAACAATAAATGGCAAGAAGTATCGGTGAAAAGCCTATGCTGATTGACAAAAATAATGTGGGCATGCTCTGCGTCGACAAATCAGACCAGCTAGTTGGGATCTACAATGCTCTGATGAAGTGCATGTGCTGGTAGAAAACACTGTTTTTCCAGTGAATAGATACTGCTATTGTGAACAGCTTTATTCTATTTGATGAGCACCATCGACAGCATCACGAAGAGTCTGAATGGTCAAGAGGTTCACGCTTCGATCATTTTGCGCTCAGGCTGGAACTAATGGAGCAGCTCCTAAGACTTGATGAGCAACAACATTCAGGTCCCAAGGCTCTGGCGGCTATTGCCGCTACAAGTGCCCCCAAAGATTAACAGCGCAAGCCCCAGAAGCTGCAAAGATACGGGAACTGTAGACTGTGCTATCAAAAACAGCATGTAGAACAAAAAACAGACGTCCTCTGCAAGACATGCTCTGCAGACGTGCTTCACCACATCATGCAACTGCTTTGTGCAGAGGCACGATAGCCACAACAGCTAACATCTTCTTTTGTATAAAATTAACTTGTACAGATAGAAAGTTCATATTTCCAGCAATATTGTGTAGAGCTTTCTTCATAAATATGTATATTTGAAAATTTTTTTAGGTTGCGTTGATGCAAAGCAGCATTGATGTCGTTTTTGTTACAAATTTTCTATTAGGTATTTTTCTTCAAAGAAGTGTTAATAAATGTTTGTGTGTGAATAAAACCATTAAAAACACAATCATTATGCTACAAATTGATACTATACATTGTAATATAAGCATTTGGTGTAGCAGTAAAAAAATTTTTGACTAGACCACCCAAAAACTACTAATTTTCCTGTAGACAAAAAAGTGTTAAAGCCAGTTACCCGTTACAAAAGGTACACATGTTATTGCACATATTTCCTTAAGACCACTTAGTGGGTGCATAGCAAGTTCGAAGATATTTTATGCGCATCTTTGCTTGTGGTTTAAAGCATGCTACTGCACATATTCCCTTAAAACAACTTAGGTGCATAGCAAGTTCGAAAATATTTCATGCACATCATTGCTTGTGGTTTAAAGCATGCTACCCATCACGCATAATGCAGCAACATGCGATAGCTTCACGGACACAAACCACTTTCAACTTTATTGATTACATTGTAGTATAATACACCTAAGTGGTTGAAGTACGCACTTGGTTCAAATCTTAAAGACAAAGCTTGAAGGGGCCTTGTGACTCTTTGTATCAGTAAGCTTAAGTACTATATTTTCATACAGAAGCAGGCATGCACTGCAGTTCAGTAGCTTCAACAGCACAGTTAAGAAAACTCATCACCAAGTATAGCCCACAATACTTTTGCAGTTTGCAAGGGGTCCTTTACCTGCGCGCATGCAAAGCTCCCAGGGATCCATTGGACAGTGACACCCAGTGCCGCATGAAGCAGGTGGCATCGGGAACATCCTCAAGAGCCCCCAATAGGGCTCCACAGAGAGTAGCCCTCCGGGCATTGCAGTGTTGCACTTGATAGCTGCAAATCCGTACAAAGGCAGCGTGCACTGCCATCCGTGTGTTCCTACAAGTGGACAACAGTGTTGACATGTTCCAGGCAATGAACGATCGCAGAAGGAAGCAATTACAGCAAAAAAACCTTCATTCAGATTTTACTCAAGAAAAAGAAATGTCTGAATTAAATGAATTCTGAATTATCAAAAGTGTCAAGAAAACAATTGACAAATGTCCATTATATCAATACACCGTGATTTTCTTGATAAATATGTATATGCCATGCATACTATGCAAAAGAGCGGTGTAAAAGCTGTAATTCTCACCACTTGTGACTTTTTTCACAATGTAACCGTGGCTCAAGTCCACCCTCTCTTCGCTAACCTGAAATTCATTGCTGTCATTAACATATGTGGGGTTTAACGTCCCAAAACCACCATATGATTATGAGAGACGCCCTATGTCATCAACATCGGGCACATGCTAATAGGCAATAGATATTGTGCCACATTGGTTTGGTTGTCCGCAAAAGCTGTTCCTGCTTTTGTCAGACACGTGTGGTGATTCATGCTCAATGCACTTCGAGAATCATCTTGATTAACCAGGTTACAGCCAGATATGACAGAATTGATCAGAATTTTATGCCACTAAACAATAAATCAGCTTGTTGGGACCAGAAAACACGTCTGAACCATCCGATTTTTTTGAACTAATCGGTGCTGAATTAATGAGCTTTCACTTGAACCCATTTTGTGAGACACGCACCGGGGAGTGGTTCTTGTCCATAAAGTGAGGTGTCTCTAATAGGCAGGGTACCATGTTACCATTTTTTGACCAACCCCGATTCCAATGTACACACACTGGTGTTCCTTATATCCAAATGTATGTCACATCAGTGCCTCCCAGAAAAAAGGGTTCAACCGTATTACATACAACAGAGTACACAAGAATTCACCACAAATTTTGCTCTGATAACAGTGCTACTGCGCTTACCTTGAAAACTGAACGTAACAGAGGTATTTTCCTTTAGGTGCAACTTCATCCAACACAGGGATGGGCACAGCCTCGCGTGCCCATTTTCATGAGCTGTGCCTATTCTGGTGTTCTTCTTGTCCATGTTGCCAAGCAGCACTGCTTTTATTTGTGATTAATGTGCATCAGCAAGTTTGCATTCAAATCCTTTTAAATACAATGACACTATATGTTTATTGGTGCAAGAGTCAACTAGTTAAGGTCAAACAATGCCATGTGAAGAAGAAGATGTGCCTGCAGCGAGCAGCATCGCCAACGCCCGGCTCGCTCGGCTCGTGCTTCGGTTCGTTGCTGTGCCGATCGCTGGACGGTTGTTCACGCTGTCTCGTCGCTGTCTTTAACGACTCATAAACCTCCTCACATTTGGTGGAGGTGCTGTTGATCCCCGTCGCTACACCCTGGAGCTGCGAAGCCGCACGCTACCACCTGTCATGACTGCCAATGCCACTACATCGACGCCTCCGCTCCAGTTCAACTGCCCTGGCCATCCTACGCTACGGGAGCCGAAGGTCTTCAGCGGTGCAGATGGGACCGACGTCGAAGACTGGCTCGAGCACTACGAACTGGTGAGCGCCAACAATAAATGGGATGAAGCCGACAAGCTGGGCCACGTGATATTTTATCTCACTGGCGTCGCCGAATTGTGGTTTAATAACCACAAACACAACATCCCCACATGGAGCGTCTTCAAGACGTCATGTGCTGAAGTGTTCGGTCGGCCGGCTGTCCGCAAGCAGAGGGCAGAACAGCGCCTGCGCGTCCGTTCTCAGCAGACTGGCGAGACCTTTACCAGCTATATTGAGGACGTCGTCGACCTTTGTCGACGTGTGAATGACACCATGCCCGAATCTGACAAGGTGAAAAACATCATGAAGGGCATCGACGACGGCGCATTTCAAATGCTCTTGGCAAGGAATCCAAGCACAGTTTCTGAAGTCGTCAGCTTGTGTCAGAGCTACGACGAGTTGAAAAAGCAACGCACTCTGACTAGGCAGCCTAAGCCTGGTGGTGAGTCGCTGTCCAGTTTCGACTCCATGCCGGACAGTTCACCATTGCTTCAGCAAGTCCGAGCCTTCGTCCGTGAGGAAGTCGCCCGCCAACTTTCCCTAGTGCCCTTTACTCACGAGACCACCACCCGTCTACCTGGCCCGCTTCGCACTGCTATATCGGAAGAGGTTGCACAAGCTGTTCCTCTTGCGCACTACGAGCCACCTCTACCTAGCCGTGGTCCCTGCCCGGGTGGCGCACAGCCGGTAGGCGCTCCTGTCGCCTATCCACCAGCCGTTCAGCCTGTGGCCGCGCCCCTAACGTATGCAGCGCAGCCTGTGGCTCCTCCTGTCGCCTTTTCGCAAGAGATGCAGCCCGTAGCCGCGCCACTCACATATGCAGACGCTGTACGTAGGCTCCCGCAACCACCCTACACCACGCGCTCACAGCCCGCGCACCCGGCTGCTTATACTGCACCTTGGGCGGCAGCACCAGCCGCCAATCCCTGGAGGACGCCCGATAACCGACCGATTTGCTACGCTTGCTTCACTCCCGGACATGTTGCTCGCTACTGCCGCCGTCGACCTCAGACGTTCGGCAACTATGCCCGGTCGTCGCATCCCGGCAGCCAACCCTTTGTCCAATACGGGCCCGTCTCGCCACCTCGCTATGCGCCTACTGACCACCTTGACTTCCAGCCGCAACGCGCACCCTCTCCTCGTCGGCGATCGCCCTCCCCCATGCGTCGCCGGCCCGGACCCTCCGACCAGGAAAACTAAGCAACGCAGTTCAAGAGGCAAGAACTGCGCCGTTTTCGAACTGTCTAAGCCCTCGCTCCTCTCCTGCTAACGTGGTCGCAGTAACTGTTGAAGGTTATTGTACTTTCGCCCTTGTGGACACTGGCGCCGCTGTTTCTGTTATTGCCGCTAATCTCTGCCGTTTATTACGCAAAGTAACGACGCCGCTTTCGGGACTGTCGCTTCACACCGCAAGCGCACAGCAGGTAACGCCTCTCGCAGCCTGTACTGCAAGAATCTCCATCGAAGGCATTCTTTACATCGTGGAGTTTATTGTTCTTCCTGTCTGTTCGCATGACGTCATCCTCGGGTGGGACTTCCTATCCCGCCACAATGCCGTCATAGACTGCGCACGCGCCGAAGTTGAGTTTTCCCCCTTGTGTGATGTCCCATTACTGGACGCTCCTCATCAGCCGCCGAAGTTGCTCGTTCATGAAGATACCGATATTCCGCCTGAAAATTGCGCCCTTGTTCCCGTTTCATGCAACGCCTACACTGACGCTACAGTTCTTTTTATGCCTTCCGATATCTTCAAATGTCGTCGAGCTTTGCCGCTGCCTTTTGCAACAATTGACCTTGCCGCCGGAAGAAGCAACATTTTCGTAAGCAATCCGCTTTCCACACCTGTCACATTGCTTGCGGGGGAATGTCTCGGCCGCGTGCAGGATCTCGACCCTTCGTTTTTGTTTGATGTCCCGGACGACTACTGCGACCACCCAAAAGCACTGTCGGCACTCGGGGAGTCACCCAATGATACGTTTTCCAGCGCCATCGCCGACACTCTCCCTCCCACCGAACATGCCGACCTGCTGGATCTTCTGCATGAGTTCAGGAGTTCGTTCGATGTGTCGCAACCTCAACTGGGCCGCACATCACAAGTCAAACATCATGTTGACACCGGCCTACACCAGCCACTGCGTCAAAGACCATACCGTGTCTCCGCTGAAGAGCGCCGCGTCATCAATGATCAAGTCGAAGATATGCTTCGTAGAGACGTCATTCGACCATCTCACAGTCCCTGGGCGTCTCCCGTCGTCCTGGTGCGTAAGAAAGACGGATCTATTCGATTTTGTGTGGACTATCGTCGTTTGAATAAGATAACCCGCAAGGACGTCTATCCTTTGCCGCGCATTGATGACGCCATTGACACCCTTCACGGAGCGGAATTTTTCTCGTCGCTAGATTTGCGGTCTGGCTACTGGCAGGTCCCAATGGCAGAAGCCGATCGCCAAAAAACGGCATTTATTACACCAGACGGACTATATGAATTTAACGTCATGCCCTTTGGGCTTTGTAACGCGCCTGCCACGTTTGAACGTCTTATGGATAATACGCTACGTGGCCTCAAATGGAATATGTGCCTCTGTTACCTCGACGATGTCGTGGTTTTCTCCCATGACTTTCCTACGCACCTCCTTCGCCTCAGGCACGTTTTGAGTTACCTGACCAACGCTGGTCTCCAGCTTAACCTGAAAAAATGCCGCTTCGCTGCACGCGAGCTCGTCATCCTAGGCCACATCGTGTCCAAGCACGGCGTATTACCAGACCCAGCAAAACTTCGAGCAGTCGCAGAATTTCCCAAGCCGACGACCATGAAAGAACTTCGCAGTTTTGTAGGCCTATGCTCTTATTTCCGGCGCTTTGTTCGCAATTTTACATCTATCATGTCACCGTTAACCCAGCTTCTTCGCGGTGACGTGAACCTCACCTCCTGGTCCCCTGCATGTGACGTTGCCTTCACTACTCTGCGCCGTCTGCTCACTTCCCCACCTATTCTTTGCCACTTCGACCCGACGGCTTCTACCGAAGTGCACACCGACGCCAGCGGCGTCGGGCTAGGCGCGGTCCTCGCTCAACGAAAGCCCGGCTATTCAGAATACGTTGTAGCCTACGCTAGCCGCACTCTGACGAAAGCCGAAACTAATTACAGCGTGACAGAAAAAGAGTGTTTGGCTCTGGTGTGGGCGCTTGGAAAGTTCCGGCCGTACTTATACGGCCGCCCGTTCGATCTAGTAACTGATCACCACGCGCTTTGCTGGCTCTCCACGTTGAAAGACCCTTCTGGCCGCCTTGCGCGATGGGCACTCCGCATCCAGGAGTACGACATTCGCGTCGTATACCGCTGCGGACGCAAACACTCTGACGCTGATGCTCTGTCCCGCTCACCTTTACCACCAGATCAGACGTGCGGAAACACTTGCCTCCAGACCTTGTCATCACTAAATCTCGACTCGATTGCCACCGAACAACGTCG